ACGTCCCGGTAGTTCTCGAGTCATAACGGATTCAACTCCGACGTTCACGACCGATATGCCTTTAACGGTTTGATATTCCCTTCGGATTTATTCTACCTCCGATTATCAGCTTGTAACCATATGCTCCGTCCTTACGATTGACAGTTCCACATGGTTCATAGTTCCGATAACTCCTTATTCCACATGGTTCATAGTTCCGATAACTCCCTATCGATACGAGCTCCGAACCGTGCCTCCGCGTATATAAACTCCTAGCTCCTGTACTCTAACTCCTTAGTTCGAATATCGACTAAGTTACTCCTCTGCTCCGACACGGACTTAGAGCGCGTAGCGACTCAAGCCTTAAAGCTTGAGTCTGGTCCGTACTCGCACTCACTCTCTGTATCTCGAAACTCTGCTCCGACTCCCTCCGACTTTCTCCGACTCTCTTCCGACTCGACTCCGACAATCATCTCGCTAGGTCCGGACGTCACACCTCCGGCGTCGGACTTAGCTCCGTCTCGATCTTGACAATTATGAGCGACCCACTGCTGATCGCGGAGAAGGAAGCCCTGCCTGATGAACGCGCTCACTGACGTTGGATGCAGCGTGGCGACATTCATACTAGCTTCTTGCGCGTCTTGGTCGGCGAACGCCTTCCGCAGTTGACTTACGTTGACGGCTGGATTTTGTTCTTGTTCAGGACGATTCACCTACCTGGAGAGGAAACTCTTCTTACCTTTTTCGGGTTCATCGTATGGATTGGGGTTCTTTGGATCGAGCTCCCATTTACGGATCATATCCTCCCATTGACAAATAAGAACCGGGCTGAACCGGGCGGTATATCGTTCGTAGATTCTCTGGTGTCGGGTACGCTCTTGCATCGCAGACACCAAAGATTTGTACAGAAAAACACCTGTAATTACTTAGTATTAATATCAATGTCTTGAATCTCTGGGCTGTCGTCTTACCCAAAGCGACGACTTTCCTGAAGTTCCAGAAACTCCAGTGGTCGTTCAGCGTGTAGTGACGCGCAGCCGGACCCATGTCCCGCGTCATCGTAGCGACACCACCAATATGAGCCCACTCCTGCTCTATCGTCTCTCCATGCGTGAAACCTGTATACTCGTGAAGGAGGAAATACATCTCAGTCCGGCATTTCAGCTTGTGGTCGCGGATATGAAGGTTCGGAATGAAGAACCGTATGCCTAGTGCAGAGAGGACCGAGAACCCAACCAGAAGGGATGCGTGTCGTTTCCAGAGATTTTGTTTCCATTGGCACCCGATGTCATAACTGACGGCGATAGGAAGCATGCATCCGAGTAGAAGAAGGGATGACCAGAATAAATAGTCCATGTTCACGTACCTGGCACTATTCAGCATTTCGTGGAAATACGAGAGAAAAGTACGTACTTCTCGCCCTTTTGTAGGTCAGCGACACCATTGGGCCGGACGAACGCGTGTCTTGCGCACTTCACGGCGCCAACACCGCTGACGGACATGACACCAGGCTTCGAGTTTACCGTATTCATGTGTTTGATTGCATTAAAGGTCGAATCGCATTGCTCCGTAACCTATGGAAAGGACGAGCGCATGTTCAGCACGTTCGTCGAATAAAAGGCCGCACAAGGCCTACCTCCTCGACCTCGACATACGACTTGAGGTGCTGCATGTAGGGCTCTTCCTCTACGAAGTATCCCCATCCACTTCCCAGCTCCGGATCATCAATCTTCTTGTCCTTGTTCTTCAAGTGGAAGCAAGCATCTATTGCGAGGAATAACGTATAGATCCACCTTCAAGTGTAAAGACAGTTAGCAGGGGGAATGCGGATAAACGTATGGACAACCTTTGCTCAGGAGGACATTTATCCCAGTCGTCTGGAATGTTCCAGCCTGGTTGCGGACACGCGGGACACGCAACGGTGAGGGCGCCTTTAGGTGTCCCGCGGATACCTGATGAGTCGTGTGCACGACCCGCTCGCTTGAGAGCCATTAGGTGAGACCATTGCCTCGTGACTAACGTTGCTTCATGATATCGGGACTGGAATTTGGCGGTGTATTAGTATTCGCGATTATCACAGAAAGATAGCTTACGATTGGAGTGTTGAGGCCAGCGTTATCGGTTTTGTGAATAACCAACAAGTAGTAGTCGTGAAGTGATATTTTTCCCTGGAGTGTGAGCCCATGAAATGTGTCGAGAAACGAGAACGTAAACGCCGTGCGAGGTTGCTGACTAGAGGCTGGATACCATCCGACGTCGAGCAATTGCTTCCACGGTGGGGTCGCTGAGCACACGCAGAATTGAACATCGACGGAATGATAGCCGTTTGCGTCAAAAACGAGGAATGACTGGTGCGCTGGGTGAACTTTCCCGCACGGCTCACCAGGAAGGTGACCGAGCCGCACTTGAAGCCCCAACTGGCAAAGCGGAATTGGCCAGAAGCAATCGTTATCCCAGCGCTACATGCTATGTTAGAGAGTACAACTGAAGTGCGCCATTACATACCTCAATATGATGGAGCGGGAGCTTGCTATGGCCGGCGACCATGCACTCCTTGCACATCATGCATCCACCCAGGCAATCTTGACAACGGTACTCCCCGATTCGTGTTGAGGAACAACAGATACTGCACGCAGCAATCGTGTCAGTCGGCAAGCCTTCCCGAGCCAACAAGGTGTCGAGGAATTTCGAACGCATATCAGCTATCCATTGCCGCATACGATACTGTTGTGAACTTAGGTCAGGTCTACTCCAAGGTAATGCGATGGCACTCACCCCAATTGTCTTCGTCGGCTGCCTCTTCCGTGTACGCTGCTTCTTGGTGGTCTCTGCATATTTTGAGCCACCGACGCCCTCCGAGTTGCGGGCCCCTTCTTCTGCCTGTGCATCAGTTGCCGTGTGCTTGTCCTGGGGTGCAGGAGAAGGCCGCCTGATCCGTTTTGCTAGTGTGATAATGGAGCTAAGTCGCCCCGTTCTTTCCGATACCTTCAGCTCGACATCTCTGGCGGTTGCGGGCGGTGGTTCTGCTTTCCCAACGAACTTTGGTAGCTTGGTCTTCCGAGGCATAACATGTAGTCGTCAATGTGTACCGGAAGACCCAGACGACGTGGGGGATGGAGAGCGATCGTAGGTGAAACCATGTAGCAATTGAATCGGTAGATGCCGCATCTTGACTGAAGAACTCCGCGGGGTATGAGGATTGCCGTGAAACGGCCGAGAAAGCGAACAAGCGATCGAATTGCCTAACGTTGTACGGGACAGCTTGGTGAACTTGCGGTGAAGCCTGGTAGCACTGCCTCGCTCACCAGATCAACAATCCAAAGAGACTGAATCTTGCCAATCTAATTATCACCACTGCTCTTGGCTCGTAAGTTCATCGTCGATCTCCTCTCTATCTAAACTGATCTACAAATGAACAGCATCACTGTAACATGTCGTCCTCCAGAGGATCACAAGGCCTCGTCAATGATAGGGCCAGTCACGCCGAATAGTGCTAGAGCTCACGAGGATTACTTGATCTTTGTCGCTTCTTAGTTCCCCTCGTCATCTGACACCAATGAACACACTCCAAGCTCAAGCTGTTAATGACTCTCCATACGGAAGCCAGTCAGTGAACAGCGATGATCGTCGATATTACATGTGTGATTCCGACAACTTGAACTACTGCTCGCGATCTCGGGCCTGGAATCTTCTCGTACATACACTTGAGAGCTTCCTGGCTTGCTCTAATCTCCTGTATGACTGCCGCTCGTCTATCTGTAGGTGAGTTCCATTGCCCCATTGCATTCGGCTCTCGACGAAGACTACGCGTGAATTGGTTGACCGTGATGTGTCGAGTCCTTGACGGAGGTCGCATGTATTGCCTGGGGTTTTCGATGTGTTGCCGAGGTGTTTTCGACAACCATTGGATGCATCATCTCGAATATTGCGCGTAGCAAGGTTGGGAGGGGAGTTCGCTGATTGCAAAGGGAGGAGGTCCGCGATGTGGTCATTTGGTGACATTGAAGCATGCCCACTTTCGTTGCCCCGCTTCTCCGTCGTTGCATGGTACTGGCAGGATACAGCACGTATATTCATCGCAACGTCTGAGGGTCTTACCTGAGCCTCTAAGGCAATCTATTGCACATAACATGGTTAACAGCCGTCGTTCTCAGGCATTCAAGCCTCGAGGTGTGTGGGTATGTTGAGGTGGTATCATTGATGTAGTATGAAAACTCGATTTGATCTTCATCATCTCCGTGTAATACTGCCTACCTACCTACTGCATCTTGTGCATTGTCTGGACATCGAACATGACCTACATTTTGTCTAGGACTATGTGTACAGAAATCAATCACGGAATAGCGGTCATCAACAATGTTGCACACGAAATCCATCTCGAACCGCCGTTCGCGATGCCCCGAGGCTTGGACATGGATTCGTCTTGTACATATACCGGACATCCTGCTGGCTTTATCGAGTCCCATGTATGACTGCTGATCGTCCATCTGTTCCATGAGTTCCATCATTGCTCTGCATTTGGTGTTCGAGCGAGACTACGCGTGGATTGGCTGACCGTATCGAAGTTGTGGTAGGGTCGATTCTTGGTGGTTATCCTCGTTGCATGTATTACCGACGTGTTTTCGTTGGCCACTTGTATGCATCATCTAGAACATTGTGCGTGACGACGGGTAGGAGAGGCGGTTGCGGATTTCAGATGTCCGTGATACTGTGATTGAGTTGTCCCGTCTGAAACTTGCCCGTGTTTGCTTCTCCACTAGTCTCATATCTTCACATGACACCGTGCAGCTGCAGGATGTGAAACATATACATTGATTGGTGTATCACCCTGTATCTGGGAATCTGGTGACACACATTTAATGCATACGGGGGATATACAATACATTGATGGAGAGGGTTGCGGGGAACGTGGAATGATACTAGAAGATACGAAACTCTAACATATATTCGCAGTAGGTGATATATTAGCTGACCGAGAGACGATGCCACCACCAATAGCACACGGCCGTTATTTTTATGTCCGCGAGCAAGAAATAGTACAACGCGCACAAAACCGATGCCAGCAGAGTGATCGTGATTCTGTGAAGACCAAATCGAACCGATACGAGGAGAGAAAGCGAGAACGACTGACCAATGAATGCATGACTAGACTACTATCACCCTACAGAGATGAAGGGGCATCAGGCGGCGGTGTGCCATAATTGCCACGAGGACAGGATGGCCGCGGAGGTAAGAGACCAGACCTTGGAAGCGACGCCATGATGACAGTGGGCGAGGCGGATGCGCTAGATGAGGACGGCGAGGATGGGACAGGAGGAGGACGGAAAGATGGGGCGGGCCGTGGCAGGGGGTAAGTCGCATAACGAGTGCTCAGTGTTTCATCCAATAACTCATGTACGTGGATTGGGGATGGAGGAGGAGCAGGCGGGAAACTAAAAGGCCACGGCACATTATACCGCGGGGCAGGGGTTGCTGTGCATGCATGAGAGATAGTCGAAAAAGAAAGCGAAAATGCGTACAAAGCCAAAGACGACAAAGCGACGACAACTCGAACCAGGCCGACTGAGTTTCAGCAAGACTCCTCGCAGGCGTCTGAGCCACGGATCCGGTGGAAGGCCCCTGAACCCGCGACCCAGTCGTAGACGTTGCCGATGCCTTGATTATGGACTCGTAGCCCCCCTCTTCCATGGCCTGCGGCGCGTCATGAGCAGAGTTAGGAGTGATAACGGAACATGGATACGCACACTTTGTGACTCTGTTACACTTGATAGCGGGGATAGCGGAGACCTGCAATGCCAACGTGAGTTGTGAGTACGAATATTAGGAGGGCTGGAGACGGACAATGAAGTTGGGAGAAAGGAGAACCTGGCCTTGACGGGCGACGTACGTCGCTTTTTATCCTCGACGGCATGTCTGGGCTTATGACATAGGCACAGACGATCGGGGAGCTGAGGATCAGGGTGAAGCACGTAAGCAGGACACGCGCTTGAAGAAGCCATGGACTTGTTAGTTGCGGCGGACATGCCCTGGCACGTGGAGGAAAGAGTTGCAACGGGCAGTGCCTTAGCCCATCTCAGATTACACGAGGAGCCATGTCCCACAAGCACTGCTCAATTGATAGGAAGAAACATGGCAAAAAATCGTACGATGCGCTAATTCTGCTAGTCTCGAAGCCAGTTGCCTCGGTAAGGTAAGCAATTGTATCTCTGCACACTATGTCCCGCGAACACTCTCTCCCCGCCTCGCATTCTGCCCTCCCTCAAATCCGGTATGCCACGGCGCCCCTGGGATCGTGCAGAGAGACTGGGTCTCAAGTCTATAATTCTACATGAGGTTGTGCAAATGACAGGTTGCCTCCCTGATTTCGATTGTGAAGGGGGATGTCCCTCGGGCGGTGCACAATTTCTTCTTATTGATAACGGGCCACACTTAAACCGAAGATCGAAAAAGGGCAGTGGGAGGCGGAGATGGGTTGTCACCGCCGTTGCATGGGGCCTAGTCTGACAGCGGTGAATCGGCGGCAGGAATCGACGGCAGAAGAGAAGCACAGATGATTTCCAGTTGTGTCGTAGGTACGCGCGCGGTCCTGGAACAGACACCAGTCCCTGCGCGCGAATTCACTGTCGTAGGTCCTAAAACCTCACCTTGAGACGTTTCGTTTGTAAGCTGCCAGAA